TCACTGGGGACCTGTCACAGCATCAAAGCCACCTGCTGGGTGGCTCCTTTGTCCTGTCCTGTCCATAGGAACATTCACAAAAAGAGCTGTGGGTTCCCCAGTGCATCCCACTCCTATTTTCCTTCTCCTAATGCTTAGAAAACACCACGACAGACTATTCAGGAAAATGAAAGAAAGTGGTAATTACTGAGGCAAGATTAAGTCACTTGAACAAGCCTGATATTTATCAAGGAAGTCCTAATAAGACATCTTCATCCAGGCGAGCAAAGTTAATTATGCTCATTTGTTAATGAAAAGCATGCGTGCCACTTCAGGCTTAGGAGACAACTGGGAAAATTAAAGTTAAATGTAAAAAACCCCAAATCATGACAAATTCTGAGAGCCTAAGATAGGTTCCAAATGAGCTCAGCGTGGGGAGGAGACCTGAGATGGCAAAGCAGCTGCTTGTGGGCGATTGCTTTGTTTTTGAAAGAAAAACATCCTCCTGGTGGTGCTGGGGCTCTTTGGAGCCTGTTTGCACCCTGTGCCAGAGCTGCAGCCTGGCACAGCCCCTCGGGCATGGCCTGGGCACAGACTGAGAGGAGGAAATGGTCCGTGGGGGGCTTTGGTGGCCAAGAGCAGCTGGGGCAGAGCTCCGCCAGGTCCCTGACGTGCTGCCCTCTCAGTTCACAGGACAGTGCCCGTGCAGGGACGGCTTCACAGGACAGACGTGCTCGGCCGTGGGGCAGCAGCAGTGCCCGCCCCGGCACTACCGGGATGCACGGGGAGGCTGCACAGGTGTGAGACCACGGATTGATCCACCAGTGCCCTCCCAGCAGCCTTGGGCGAGTCCTGGGCCACCCTGGGCTGGCCCTGTGGGCTCAGGGCTGTGCCAGCTCTGGGCCGGGGGGCTTGTCCCATTCCTCTGCCCGTGTCACCTCTGTCCCTGCAGGAGGGGATGGGTGTCAGCTCTTATAATTAATGATACTTTTATAATTAAGGGTATATTTTATACAGACATAAAGTAATCCACCACCACCTCTCTCTCCCTCCACCTGTCCTGTCCAGAGTGTGACTGCGACTTCCATGGCACGGAGGAGGCGGGCTGTGACCGTGCCACGGGCCGGTGCCTGTGCCGCGCCGGCGTCGCCGGGGCCCGCTGCGAGCGGTGCCAGCGGGGCCACTGCAGCTCGCAGCGCGGCTGCCAGCCCTGCCACCCCTGCTTCCACACCTACGACGGCGACATCGAGCGCCTGCGCCGGCGCCAGGCCGGCCTGGCCAACGCCACAGCGCGGCTGCCCGCGGGCACGGGCGG